ATGACAAAAGAGCCTGCAGAGAGATACAGACAGGTTAAGGACGTGAGCAAAAAGCCTGGCAGATGGAATATAATTTTTTGATTAATTTGTGGGAAGAGGGAATCACAGCCTGACCCGTGTTTCTCCAGCTCCACACTGTATAAGCTCAGTAGCAGCACTGTGTATTATCTACAAAATGCAGAAATTTGGGGCGGCACAGTGGCTCAGTGGTTAGCACTGCTGCCTTACAGCGCCAGGGAGCTGGGTTTGATTCCACCCCTGGGCGACTGTCTGTGTGGAGTTTGCACATTCTCCCTGTGTCTGTGTGGGTTTCCTCCGGGTACTCTGGTTTTCTCCCACAGGCCAAAGATGTGCAGGCTCAGTGGATTGGTCATGCTAAATTGCCCTTAGTGTCCAGTGATGTTTAGGTTAGGTGCGTTAGACAGGGGGAAATGCAGGGGTAAAGGGGAACGAATCGGTGTGGGATGCTCTTCGGAGAGGCAGTGTGGACTTGTTGGGCTGAATGGCCTGTTTCCACACTGTAGGAATTCTGTGAAATTCACCAAAGAACTCTGAGACAGCACCTTCCAAACCTATGATTACTTCCATCTAGAAGGACAAGTGCAGCAGATAAATGGGAACACCACCACCTGCAAGTTCTCCTCTAAGCCACTCATCATCCTGACTTGGAAATATATTGCTGTTTCTTCACCATCACTGGATCAAAATCCTGCAATTCCCTCCTTTAGGGCATTGTGGATCAACCCTCAGCACATGGGCCTCAGCAGTTCAAAAAGGCAGCTCACCGCCACCTTCTCAAGGACTACTGGAGGTGGGTAATCAAAGCCAGGGTCTAGGCCTGAATCATCGACTATCCTGCTCCTCTGATGCTGCCTCACCTGCTGAGTTCCTCCAGTTCCACACTGTATTGACTTTGACTCCAGCATCTGTGGTTCTTGCTATGTCCCTGCTACTGAGCTTTTTGAATGTTGTTGGAGCTGCACTCATCCAGGCAAGTGGAGAGTACTCCATCACACTTCCGACTTGTGCCTTGTGGACAGGCTATGGGGAATCAGGAGGCGAGTTACTTGTCACAGTATTCCTAACCTTTGGCCTGCTCTTGAAGCTACTGTGTTTATGTGATGAGTCCAGTTGTGTTCCTGGTCAATGGTAACCCCAGGGATATTGATAATTGCAGGGTTCAGTGATGGTAACACCATTGAATGTCAAGGGGCAGTGATTAGATTATCTCTTATTTGTGATGGTCATAGCCTGGCATTTGTGTGGTGCGAATGTCACTTGCCACTTGTCAGCTCAAGCCTGGATATTGTCCAGATCTTGTTGCATTTGAACATGGACTGCTTCAGTGTCCGAGGAGTCGGGAATGGTGCTGGACATTGTGCAGTCATTGGCGAACATCCCCACTTCTGACGTTGTGATGGAAGGAAGGTCACTGATGAAGTAGCTGAGGTTGGTTGAGCCCAGGACACTATCCTGATGAACTCATGGAATTGAGATGACTGACCTCTATCAACCATGACCATCTTCCTACGTGCCAAATTTGACCTCAGGCAGCACTGAGTTTGCCCACTGATACCCATTGATTTCACTTTTGCTAGGGTTAATTGATGTGACACTCAGTCAAATGAGGACTTGATGTGAAGAACTGTCACTCTCATCTCACCTCTGGAATTTAGATCTTTTGTCCATGTTTGAACCAAGGTTCTAGTGAGGTCAGGAGCTGAGTGGCCCTGGTGGAACCTAAACTGGGCGTCACTGAGCAGGTTATTGCTGTGCAGGTGCTGCTTGATAGCACTGTTGATGACATCTTCCATCGCTTTACTGATGATTGAGATAGACTGATGTGGTGGTAATTGGCAAGGTTGGATTTGTCCTACTTTTTATGTACAGGACATACCAAGATAATTTACCACATTGTTGGGTAGACTTCAGTGTCGTAACTGTACTGGAAGAGCTTGGCTAGTGGAGTGGCAAGTTCTGGAGCACAAGTCTTCAGTACTATTGCCAGAATATTGTCAGGGTCCATCGCCTTTGCAGTAACCAGTACCTCCAACCATTTCTTGATATCACAATGAGAGAAATGAATTAGCTGAAGACTGATATCAGCGACGCTGGGGACCACTGAAGGAAGCCATGATGTTGTCCACTCGACATTTCTGGCTGAAGCTTGCTGCAAATCCTTCTCCCTAATCTTTTGCACTGATGTGCTGGGCTCTTCCATCGTTGAGGATGGGGATATTTGAGCAGCCTGCTCCTCCAGTGAGTTGTTTAGTTGTCCCCCACCATTTATGACTGGATGTGGCAGGACTGCAGAGTTAGATCTGATCCTTTAGTTCCTTTATTCATTAGCAGGATGAAGATGTCGCTGGCTAGGCAGCATTTATTGCCCAGAGGGCAGTTTGGAGTCAACCACATTTCTGTAGGTCTGGAGTCACATGTAGGCCAGACCAAGTGAGGATGGCAGTTTCCTTCCCTAAAGGACATTAGCGAACCAGGTGGGTTTTCCAACAATCGGCAATGTGTTCATGGTTATCATTAGATTCTTAATCCCAGATACTTATTGAGTTAAAATTCCACCATCTGGGTCTTTGGATTAACAGTCCAGCAATAATAACACTAGGCCTTCGCCTCTCATTAGTTGTGGAATTGATTAGCTCTGTCTATCACTTGCTGCTTATGCTGTTTGGCATGCAAGTAGTTATGTTTGGTAGCTTCACCATGTTGACACCTCATTTTAGGTACCCCTGGTGCCGCCCCTAACGTGCCCTCCTGCACTCTGCATTGAAAGAGGGTTGATCTCCTGCCTTGATGGTAATGGCTGAGTGGGGAATATGTTGGGCCAAGAGCTTGCAGATTGTGCTGGAGTACAATTCTGCTGCTGTCAATAGCTCACATCGCCTCATAGATGTCCAGTTTTGAATTACTAGATCTGTGCGAAGTCTGTCCCATTTAGTATGGTGATAATGCCACACAACATGATTCAGGTTATTCTCAATGTGAGGGTGGGATGTTGTCTCCACAAGGACTGTGTAGTGTCACTCCTACCAATACTGGTATGTACACATGTATCTGCAGCCGGCAGGTTGGTAAGGATGAGGTCATGTATGTTTTTCCTTCTTGTTGGTTCCCTCACCACCTGCCACAGACCCAGTCTAGCAGCTATGTCCTTTAGGACCCGACCAGCTCGATCATTAGTAACTGCTGCCAAGTCACTCTTGGTGGTGGACATTGAAATCCCCCGCCCAGAGTACATTTTATGCCCTTGCCACCTTCAGCATTTCTTCCAAGTCTTGTTCAACATGGAGGAGTACTGATTCACCAGTTGAGGGAGGGCAGTATGCGGTTTCCTTGCCCATGTTTAACCAAAAGCCATGACACTTTTTGGGGTCCAGAGTCAATGTTGAGGACACCCAGGGCAACTCCTTTCCAACTGTACACCACTGTGCCACCACCTCAGCTGGGTCTGTCCTGCAGGTGGGGCAGGACATATCCAGGAATGGTGTTAGTGGTGTCTGAGACATTGTCTGTAAGGTATTATTCTGCGAGTGTGCCTACTTCAGGCAGTTGCTGTACTGGTCTGTGAGATAGGGGTACCATATTGGCACTAGCCCCAGATGTTAATGAGGGGAACTTTGCTGAGTCAGCAGGGCTGATTCTGGCATTGTCTTTTCCAGTGCTTACGTCGGTGAAAGCTCGTCTGCCAGATTTCTTTTCTTTACTGAGACTTTGTGGTGATGGTAGCCCATTTCAGTGGCCAGTTGGGTATGGAATGGGGGAAAATGTGAGGTTATGCATTTTGGCAGGAAGAATAGTGGAGTTGAATATTATTTAAATCGAGAAAGACTGAAAAAAACCTACAGCACAAAGGTATTTGGGAATGCCTGTGCATAATGCTCATAAAGCGAGCATATAAGCTCAGTAGGAAGAGGGAAGGTAAATGGAATGTGGGCCTTTATTTCAAAAGGGATGAAGTATAAAAATAAAGAGGTCTTGCTGAAACTATACAAGGCACTAGTCAGACCACACCTAGAATGTTGATAAGAGATGAAATTGCTGCCAAGGAAAACTACCCCTACTCTTCTTTGAAATTGTGACATGGAATTTTCATATACCCCTTAGTGGGTAAATGGAATCTTGGCTTAACGTGTCACCTGCAAGATGAACCTCTAACAGTACAGCATCCCCTGTCTCTGCAATGGAACTTGACCCAACAATTTTCTGACTTAAGAGGTGTGAGTGCTCCTTCTGAAACTTCTAAGTGCTGCCACACAGACTATGCTAATTCCTCAGGAGTGGGCAGTGCTGTTCTTCTACAATTCAGTCAAAAGAAACCAGCACAGATAATGAGATAACAAGGTGTAGAGCTGGATGAACACAGCAGGCCAAGCAGCATCAGAGGAGCAGGAAGGCTGACGTTTCGGACCTAGACCCTTCATTGCTGAAGAAGGGTCTAGATCCTCTGATGCTGCTTGGCCTGCTGTGTTCATCCAGCTCTACACCTTGTTATCTCAGATTCTCCAGCATCTGCAGTTCCTACTATCTCAGCACAGATAACGGGCCTGTGACATTGCAACCACTCCCTGAGGAAGTGATACTGTACAAAAGCAACATTTTCTATGAAGGTTTTTATTGTGCAAAAACGTGACAAATTCTGCTCCAATGCCTTTAACTTTTAAGGTTAAAATCTCTAGTTGAATGTATCCCTGGAGGGTTCATAGTAAAGTGTCCTGCCTCTACTTGCTTGGATCAGTGAAACACCAATTTCCCTTCTCCAGTACTTTCAGATCTAATAATTTAAGGTACTTATAGAATATTTTTAAAAATCTAATGTTTAATGCCCCCCGTTTATTTTCCTGCGTTGCTCACATTATTGTGGAAAAGGACGACGAAGTGTTGCATTTTCATTGACAGTTGGTGCCTGCCCTGGGCCGGAACTGAGAGTCGGGCTATTGTTGTTCGGGGGGGTGGGGACGGGTAAAGTAAACGGAACGGAAGTGAGTGGTGTCAGTGGAGTGAGAGCTGGGGGACGGAACGAGTGTGTTCGGCGGAGCCGCTTTGTCTTGGAGCTTACTCCCCCCGAGGTCGAGCTCATAGTAAAGATCGGGGAGAGTGTGAGACGGGGGCTTATTGAGGAAGGGGCGAGGTGAGAGAAGAGGCATGATGGGGGGTGGGGGAGAGTCGGGTGAAGGAAGGGAATGGAGAAGGGACTGGCCTGGAAGCGGGACGTAAAGGGGATGGAGGGGATGGGAGGAGAAGTGAGCTGGAGAGAGGACTTAGTGACAGTGAGTGAAGGAGCGGGGAGATGATGTTAGGCATGTGTTACGGTTTCCACAAACAGATAATTTTAAACTTCCAGTTGATACCTGGTTAGAAGCCAGGGCACATCCATACCTTTTGTTATTCCCCACTCACCACTTGTTCTAGAGACTTCTTGCAGTAAAAGTTCCTTAAAGCATCTCTTGTCCCCCTCGCCATAAATTCCCACTTTGAACCAAATTCCCAGTTATATTCATTTAGCCTCTGTCTTAAACACGTGATGTTTCCCTCATACTAACTGTGCTCCTTAATGTCCACTGCTTTCCTGGACACCTTTGTCCCATAATACTTAACACCTAATCCTGTTCTTCCTTGAACCAAGTCTTGGTTCTAGCCAAAATGTCATAAATCCACGTGGCAATCTTTGCCTGTGACCCACCAATCTTATTAATTAACCTCTGTACATTCATATACATGATGTCTAACCCTGATTTAGAATGCTTCAATCGCTCCTTTATTCTGCCTCTAGCTATTAACTTACAATTCTGTATTTAGTGCTTTTTTTTTCCAGTGTTTTGTGCACACTATCTGATACTGTTTCCTGGTTCCCACATTCCTGTAAAACTAATTCAACCCTACCCAACAACACATCCTACTAGGAACTGCAATGCCATCTGGCTATGTTCAAACAACCTGTTTGGCTTATACAGGTGCTGTCTGCCCAGATCTAGTAGCAATATCCCAGGAATCTAGAGCCCTCTCTCCTGCCCCATCTTTCATAGAACTCCTACAGTATGGAAACAGATCATTCGATCCAATAAGTCCACACCAACTCTCCGAAGAGCATCCAACCCAGACTCAGCCCTTATCCCTCTAATCCTGCATCTCCCATGGCCAATCCACCTACTTGCACATCTTTGTACTGTGAGAGCAAACTGGAGCACCCAGAGGAAACCCACGCAGACATGGGAAGAATGTGCAAACTCCACGCAGTTGCCTGAAGGTAGAAGTGAACCCGGGTACCAGGTGTTGTGTGGCAGCAGTCCTAACCACTGAGCCATCATGCCACACTCAGCCACATTTATCTGTTTTATCCTCCAATATCTGTATGTACTTGCATATTGCACCAGTACTAGTTCAGAGGTTACCAATTTTGAGGTGATGATTGTTAATGTTCTACTTAGCTCCCCAAATTCTAACTGCAGGATTACATCACCACTTCCTACCGATGTCATTGGTGTCAATGTGGATCACGACCTCCGGCTGATTAACCCCCCTCTCAAAAGAATGTCTTGTGGCTGCTCTGAGAATTCTTTGACCATGGCTTTCTAAAAATTTCTTGTGTTCAAATGCTTTTGTTTTGCTTCCACTGCATGATTTGAGAAAGGTGGCTGTCTGCAATTTAGCATTTCTAGTCTTTAAAGATATTTTCCAATGTGTGTGCTGCAATGTCTTTCTTTTTTTCTAGTCCTTACCTGCTCACTGTTGGTGTTGTTTGCCTTAAAATATTTTTTATCACTTTGTGTTCTTGTAGGTACTAAACTGTTGTGAATGGGCCAAAAAGCCTACTTCTGCACCTATGTCTTATGGCGAATATGGAATCTGCCCACTGTTAAATTCCCAATAGTTATCTTCAGCAACATATTGGAAATAATCTATACACTGTAGTTCGTCAATAAAAACTGAAAGAACTGCGGATGCTGTAAATCAGGAAAAAAAACAAAGTAGCTGGAAAAGCGCAGTAGGTCTGGCAGCATTTGTGAAGGAAAAAACAGAGTTAACGTTTTGGGTCCGGTGACCCTTCCTCAGAAATAGTCAGCCTAGCTTAATGCATGGGATGCATATACTTTAAAAAACAGAAATTGATTTCTCAATTAATTTAGTGTGGACTTTTTTAATTTTAGTAAAGAAGGAATTGAGATACATTTCCAAATGTTTTCAGTATGTTTGGAATCAATAATTCAATATATTATAAAATTTATATCAGCCAGGGAAAAGTATGTAACCATTTCTTGTGTATCAATGATGCTGATGCACTTGATGATTTCCTAAGCTCTGAAAACCGAAATGGAAGATGAGTTTTACTTTTTTAAACGTAGGCCAATCGTATATATTCTCTTATTTTTGCATGTTCTTTCTTAAATGAAAGGCAAAATAAATTCTCATTGTCAAAATTATTTTCTCTGTTCTGAATCACAAACAGCTCGCAGATTAACTAGAAAATGGATTCTGCGTCTCAAGGAAAGAAAATGGTGGCACCCACTGTATCTCAGATAAATGCTGAATATGTTACTCAGGTAAGGTTCGTGTACCTTACAAATGACACAGCAGAATTTCTGCCTGCCTTTTTTCAGTTACAAAGTACAAAGATATTTTTAATTAGAGATTTATTTCTGCCATTTGTATTATTTTCAAGCAAGCAAAAGATGGTGTGATGTCTGTACCAGATTGTGTCAAAAATCAGACGACACCAGGTTGACTTGAAAACACTAACTTTCTAAGCTCTGCCCCTTCCTCAGGTGTAGTGTGGAAGAGAAGGTATATCAACACAAAATTTATAAGCAGAAAGATAACCACCTTAAAAATGACTCGCTGACCACCTCCTATTGAATCTTTAAATAGCTCTAAAGGAGACACAGGTTTCTGTTGATTAAAATGCAAATCCCAAAATTTCTTTCAAGTCATTGCTCCGAGATAATTAAAGGTTTTAACAATATATCCAAGAGGTGGCATCTCAGGTCAGACAGTGCATTTTAGGTGAGACGCCTTGCTTAGAATCTGTCTGTGTTTTATTCTGGAGTCAGGCTGGTTTTATTTTTCGCCCCATAGTGTGTGTGTGTGAGAGTGAGTGAGAAAGTATCTCGTGTATTTGGGCCACCTGTAGTGTGGCATGAACCCAAGGTCACGGAAAACTCAGCTCCCATGGATCAGTCGAATCAGGAACACCCCTCATCACAATGGACGTTTCTGCGTCTCCCATGACAGCAGCATCGCTGTAGCAGCATCAGTACTTGATACCAACAACTGCCAATTTCCAGACACCATCCTACAACTCATCCGCTTCATCCTTGACCACAATGTCTTCACCTTCGACAACCAGTTCTTCATTCAGACACACAGAACAGCCATGGGAACCAGATTTGCTCCCCAGGGTGCCAACATTTTCATGCACAGGTTTGAACAAGACTTCTTTGCTGCACAGAACCTCCAACCAATGCTATATGCCAGATACATTGACGACATTTTCTTCCTTTGGACTCATGGCGAGGAATCACTGAAACAACTATATAGCGATATCAACAAGTTTCATCCCACAATCGGACTTACCATGGACAACTAGTTAGAATCAATCTCATTCTTGGACACACACATCACCACCAGGGATGGACACCTCAATACCATACTCAACCACAAGCCTACAGATAACCTCACGATGCTGCACTTCTCTAGCTTCCACCTTAAACATATTAAAACAGCCATCCCCTACGGACAAGACATGCATACACAGAATGTGTTCGGATGAAGAGGAACGAGACAGACACCTGAAGGTGTTGAAGGATGCCCTCATAAGAGCAGGATACGATGCTCAACTCATCAATCACCTGTTCTGACGTGCCACAGCGAAAAACCATAATCTTCTCCTCAGAAGACACACACGGGATATGACCGATAGGGTACCCTTCGTTATCCAGCACTTCCCGGGAGCGGAGAAACTACGCCATGTTCTTCACAACCTTCAATACATTATGAATGACGATGAGCACCTCGCCAAGATCTTCCCTATGCCTCCACTTCTCGCCTTTAAATAAACGCCAAACCTTTAACAGACCATTGTTCACAGCAAATTACCCAGCCTTCAGGACAACATTGACCACAACACTCTACAACCCTGCCATGGCAACCTCTGTAAGACATGTCAGATCATTGACATGGACACTACCATCACACATGGGAACATCACCCACCACGGCAGATACTCAAGTGACTCAGCCAACATTGTCTATCTCATACGCTGCAGGCAAAGATGCCCCGAGGCATGGTACATTGACGAGACTGTGTAGATGCTACGACAGCAGATGAATGGACACAGCACAACAATCACCAGGCAGGGTGCTCCCTCCCAGTGGGGGAACACTTTAGCAGTTAAGGGCGTTCAACCGCCGATCATCAAGTAAGTATCCCCCAAGGCGGGCTTTGGGATACGTAACAATGCAAAATCGCCAAGCAGAGGCTGATAACTAAGTTCTGTACCCATGAGGACGGCCTCAGCCGTGATCTTGGGTTCATGTCGTGCTACAGGTGACCCCACCACACTATATACTCTCTCTAACACACCCTCCTACTCTCTCACATAAACACACTTACACACACACTCGCACAGACCCTTTCTCTCACACACGCTCTGTCACACACCCACTGTCTCTCACACACATTCACTCGCTCGCACCCTGTCATTGTCTCTCACAGGCGCACGGTCTCACGTGCACAGGCGCACAGACTCTCACACGCACAGGCGCATACACATAAATCTATGGGGTAAATTATTTCATCCAAGATGTTTGTGTATTTGCAGATACATTCTATTTTGTTCACAAAAAGTAAAGCCAGCCTGGCTCCAGATTAAAACACAGACAGATTCTAAGCAAGGTGTCTCACCTGAAATGTCTGACGTGAGATGTCACCTCTTGTATGCACTGATAAAACCTTTAATTCACTTGGCGCAATGACTTGAAAGAAATTCTGGGGTTTGCATTTTAATCAATAGAAACCTGTGTCTCCTTTTGAAATGATTAAAAATTCAACAGGAGGTGGTCAGTGAGCTATTTTTAGGATTGTTACCTTTCTGCTTATAATTTCTGTGTCCGTATACCTCCTCTTCCACGCTACACCTGAGGAAGGAGTAGAACTCCGAAAGTTAGTGTTTTCAAGTAAACCTGGACTATAACCTGGTGTCGTGTGATTTTTAACCTTGTCCACCCCAGTCCAACACTGGCACCTCCACCACATGTACCAGGTTCTGTCATCTGTGATACCTGCAGAACCCCTTGACCACTTGTAGATGCTCTTTCTTTTAAAATTTAATGCAGGATTCAGCAGACATATGATTTGCTCATTTAATATAGGTGGGACAAAAAATTATAGTTGGTACTTAACTATCGAGTCTCCTGCTTATGTTTAATCTGTCTAGAAATACAATTAGTAAACTATTTTGTGCAGGAGAAATGGCTGAGACCTTATTAAATGTGGCATGGTAATGGAATATGGAGAGTGCATCTGTTTTTTTATCCTGTGGATGCTATGCCTAGTTAAAAATAGGTTTTCTGTCTATCCAGTCAAAGTTGTGGTTTAAACTTGCACAGATCTACTCAGAGTTTGCACTGCTTTGAAAGTGTTTACAATATCTATTGATATGTTTTCAGCTATCCAATAGGTACTGGGCACCTCACGTGAAGAAAAAAATGACTTTTGAACCTAAGGTAAGTCATGCTTTGTTTTCAAGTTATGTACATTGCATGGAACTTTTTGAAATGTGAAAGCACCAACAAAATGTTTGATTTGTTATCACAATTATTACAAGGCCAGTAGAAAAATCTCAAATTTAAATTTCTGATATGGGAATATATTTCTCCGCTGCAGGTTTAGATAGCTAGTGATTGTTCTTACTAGAGCTCTTAATGCAGATTAAATAACCTCAAACCTGCAGTTCCCTTCCCATTACGCTGAAGGTAAACTAGCTGGATCATTGTCAACTGAACCATGGAATAAATCTTTATTTTTACCCTGTTCCTACCCAAAAAAACAATCAATCTTTATATTGAAGCATTGGAAATAAATTAACTCATACTGGCATAATGTATTCCACTGCTTTCTTTCTTTGCAACAGGTCATTGAAGACGTGTATCAGAAAGAGATTGTAAAGACAAAGTAAGGCACCAATTTCCATTTGGTTCAGTTTTAAGATATGATATTAAGATATTGCATTTGCTTTCTAGTGTATGTACAGACTTAAACTAAACGATCCATGAGTTTTAAAAATGTTCTGCATGACATCAGGTAGGCATTATATTGGTCTTATACTAGCACAATACTTTGGTAGCTAAAAGTTTTTCCAATGTAAAGTGCTAATCTTAAGAATATTCCCTCTATAAAATATATGTTTTTGAGGAATTGAAATACATTTTGCACTGCTGTTGTACAGACAAGGGAGAATAGGTGTTCCAAACTGTACAGAAGATCCACAAGCAGCAGCACATTTGACCGCATTTTTTAATAAAAAAGACACTAGATATCCTTTCTCTTTCAATATAATCAAGCACAACTGTCAGAATGAACATATTTATTTTGTCTTTAATTAGAATCTAGTTTTGTATTTTGAAGGGCCTAATTTACACGTATGGTTTATATTCTAAATGAATATAAACTTTTAATGAAGACTTTGTACTAAACTGTATAAAGTGTTGGACTAGAGAATGAATTTCAGTCCAATATAGTTATGTGAATTTGAAGAGGGAAAGAAACTACAAATTTAGTAAATTAAGTTCTCACTCACTTTACTTAGTTTTTCTTAACATGCAAAAGAAAAGAAATGAAGTATGCCAAAATTAAAACTTAGTGCTCACCATTTAACATTTTAGTGCTTGAATAAAATGAGACTTTTTTTCTTGCCTATATAAGTACCTACTATTGTTTAATGTTTATTTGATATTTGGTCAATTTGAATTTGTGACGTTATAAGCCATCGCTTGAATAGTGATGGCAGGGTCAAGTAACACTTCTATTGTGGTATTCATTCAATTTTACAAACAGCAATTTTTTAAAAATTTTTCAGATTTGCAATTAGAAAAATTATGCTGCTTGAATTCAGGTAATCTTTATACTTGTTTGGTATTTATTTAAAAATGATTTTTGAAGCAATATTTTAATGAATATTATGCAGCTGGCTGACTTTTTCTTTGCAAATTAATAGCCAGTATCTGGAGAATTATCTCTGGCCAAACTATTCTTCTGAAGTATCCAGCAATGCTTACCTGATGTCCATTTGCTGTATGGTGAATGAAAAATTTCGAGAAAATGTTCCTGCTTGGGAGGTAAGAGGCTCTCAGTTATCTTTTGTAGAGCTTTGTTTTGCTTCCCAATCTTTTATGAAAATCATATGAAGTGTTGAAGCCTGGGGCCATCCCACAGGAAGACAGCACCAGGAATTGATGGGGCACAGTCTGAATCTCAGATTTCCAAAGTACGTTTTGCTTATTTTGTTGTGAATAGTGGCAATGTGATACTCCTCGCCGCAGGCACAGAAATAAGTAAAACACTAAGTCTAATAGTCAAAATAATTTTATTTCAGTAGCATCTGAACTTTTGCTGTATGAACGCTCCTTAGTTATTTGAGAAGCAGATTTTTAAAAGGGCAGAAACCGTTGAATCCATAACATGTAGGAGCACAGAATAAGAATTAGGCCATTCAGTCCAGCGAGTTTACCCTGCCATTCAATCGTGGTTGATATGTTTCTCAACCCCAACCTCCTGCCTTCTCCCTGTGACCTTTAATCCCCTTATTAATCAAATACCAATCTATCACTGTCTTAAAAACACTCAATGAGTTGGCCTCCACAGCCTTCTGCAGCAGTGACCCACAGCCTCACCAGCTTACTCAGCGTTTTACTGCGGAGTTGGTTGTTGTTGAAGGTTCAG